AAACTGGCAAAGAAAATCTTAAAATCTCAGCCAGTGCCAACCTCATTCATATCCTCAAAGAGGGACTATTAGGAGGTTAGGGGAAATGTCAGGGCATAGCTGCAAAATATTTTGGAAGGCAACTGAATAGCTGCTATATGCAAACGGCCATGCCTACCTCACAGAACCGGAGGCTGTTAGAGCCTGGAGGAACAGAACCAGCCAGATAGGATAAACCCTTATTTCTCACCTGAGGCTCTCAACCAGAAAGAAGGCACAGGGGTTCCAGTCTCCTACCCTCAACTGGAGCTCTTTCGAGGGTGCTCGTGGACTGTTTAATGGCACTGTTCAAAATACTTCTCTCTGGCCCTACTTGAAACCACATGGGAATTTGAGCTTATGTGAGATTGCACATTTAATAACAGGTTTCAACAATGCGTGTGCGGGTGAGGGTGGGGAGGACTGAGGTGGGAGACTCCCTACTAACCCTGCTCCCCGCTTCTCTTAGATGTGGCAGGTATCCCCGGAAGCACGCTACAGGCCAGCGTGGCCACCCACTCAGGCTCCCAGTCCTGCCCAGGCTGGAGACTTAGTTTTCACGTATTGATTTATGTGCACTAACCGCCTGCTATGTTTCCACTGCGGACCAGGAGCCAGCAGAAGCATTTTCCAGGTGTCCACGTGACGACCTTGAAGGGTGTGTGCTCGTAATCTCATGAAGAGGGTCGTGTGCACTGACGCTCACACCCAAACAGAGATACAGGCCGGGGTGCAAGCAGTAAAGGGAAGGGGCCCAGGGTCCTGCCAGGGGCCTCAGCACTGGCTGGGAGGAGCTGCGGCAGGGAGGGGAATGCTTTGGGAGAGCTGGAGTCTCCACCGAGCTCCTTGGGGAGGGCAGGAGAAACAGAGGCAGAGCGGAAGTGGGAAGACAGCCCGGAAAAGGGGAGGCAAGCGAGAATATTCGGATTACGCTCCGGGAGAGCCGATGGCCCACGTGATGCAGCAGGAGAGGCGCAAAGGGGAAGCGTGTTGATCGCCGGTGGAAACACATGGTTCGGCCAGACTGCGGGCCTTCGGGGTGCACTGATGAGGCTGAACTTCACTCCGTCAGAAGTGAAGGACCCCCCCTTGGCTCCCTGCCTCAGATGCACCCCAGCTGTACCTCAGGCTCCAGCCTGAGTCTAGAGTTCCAAGCCCAACCCCATCGTTCCACTGCACGGGGCCAGCGTCGATCCAGAGACAGAAGTTTTGATTTGGGGCTTAAACAACTCACTCAGGCATGAACCCCTAAAGGGGGAATCATTTCCTTCTTAGGAATGCCTGGCTGAGCCACTAGCAGGCTGCACCGTCTCAGGCAGATCCTCCACCCTCCGGGACTGTGTGGATTCCTGTCTCTCTAGACCCCCTCGAGCTGTCACTGCAGCTCCCGAGATGGTATGTGAGTTGGCTGCTTGCTGAGTACTTGGGAGCACCCACCTCCCATGCCACCTGGCAGTTATGCGCAAGCCAAGCTCCCAAACTCCCAGCCGGACGTCGCTGCCAGCAACTTGCAGCCTTCATGTGGGAGCCATCTGTCTCAGAAAGGGCAAGGGTTGACCAGCGCTCCGCGTTCTGTTCTGCCCGACCACCCAGCAACAGGGACCCAGACCGCAGAGTGCAGTCTATCCCCTGAGCCCTCGTCACCCCCGGCACTGGAGACTGTGTTAGGGGACGCAAGGTGCATTGCTCGTGATTGCGGAACACCCGAGGACACAGAAGAGAAAGCACTCGTGGTGTAAATACCAGGAAACGAATGCTTGGGCAGCTCGAAGCACCCGCCCGAGTTCACAAGGTTATGACGACGGTCTGGTGTTTGAATGTGAGTGTGCAGGCACCGATGTTTGTGATCACAGGCCAAATGCTAAAACCAAAGTCAGACACCGGGGTGGGGTTTCCACCTCTTCCACATACGAGTGAGTTATTAAAACTCGTGGAAATCCAGGCTCCTTGTATTGAAAGATGAAAATATTAACCCCATCAGCCTCACAGAGCTGTTGTGGGAGGAGAGCAGGGTTTGTCCACTCAGCACAGGTAAGTTTTTGGTGTGGGGGCTGTTCTGTGCATTGGGGATGCCGAACCGCATCCCTGGCCCATACCCACGAGATACTGTAGCACCCCTCCCCCATCCAGTTGTGACAACCAACAAATGTCTCTAGACCTCGCCAGATGTCCCGACCAAAAGAATTCTCGGGCTTATTTACATCAGAGCCTTATTCAAGCAACTGTTCCCATTTGTTTTGTGATGCCCCCATTAGCATCCTCTCAAGAAGCTGATCCATTTTTCTTGGGTCTCAAACTCAAAGGGTCTTAAAATTTAGATGCACTGATTTCTTTCTCATTTATACAATCTTGGTATGTTTATATTAAAAATCACAGGAGGGGCACCTGAGTGGCTCAGTCAGTTAAGCATCTGACTTTGGCTCAAGTCATGATCTCACGGTTTGTGGGTTCGGCCCCGTCTGGTTCTGTGCAGAAAGCTCAGAGCCTGGAGCCTGTTTCAGATTCTGTGTTTCCCTCTCTCTCTGCCCCTCCCCTGCTCATGTTCTGTCTGTCTGTCTCTCTCTCTCAAAAATAAATAAACATTAAAATATATATTTTTTTTAAATCACAGGAAAGCCAGGCTTTCCCCCCCACCCCCGAATAAGGCATACATGTACGTGAAAAAGGCACTTCTTAGATTGCTAGGTTTTAGTGTCTTTACTTTTTAAAAGAATTTTTATTGAGATGTAACTGACATATAAACGTTATATTAGTTTCATAATTTGATATGTGTATAGATTGCAAAGTGATCACCACGATAAGTTTAGTTAGCATCTGTCCTCACACAGTAACTTTTTTCCCCCCTTGTGATGATAACTCTTAAGATCTACTCACAATAACCTTCAAATAGACCAGATAGTATTATGTACTATACTCATCATGCTGTACAGTATATTCCCGGGACTTATTTATTTTATAACTAGAAGTTAGCACCTCTTTTTTTGAATCATGTCATGAAAGCAGCTTGACAAATCTCAAGATTGGGGCGCCTGGGTGCCTCAGTTGGTTAAGCGTCTGCCTTTGGCTCAGGTCGTGATCTCAAGGTTCGTGAATTTGAGCCCCGCATCAGGCTCTGTCCTGACAGTGCAGAGCCCGCTTGGGATCCTTATTCTCCTCTCTCTCTTTCTCAGCCTCTACCCTGCTTGCACTCTCTCTCTCATAATAAATAAACTTAAAAAGCAGTTTAAAAAAAATTTTTAAAGGAAAAGAAAAACCTTAAGATAAATTCTGAGCTCCAAAGTTTTTGGAGTATTAAAGAAACAATGCAGTTTAAGCAGGAGGGGATTTGCCATAATTCATGCTCTGAAAGTTAGCTGGTTTCAGGAAGAGAGCTCAACACAGGAGCCCCTTACATATTGCACACGTATCGTGCAGAGAGAAAGCAAAGCTATGGGAGAAATATATGGCCCCTTCCCTCAGGAGAGGTCTTGCCTCCTTGTAGACTGGTCATCCCTGAACTGTGCTTTTTGAGCGTTACTCCCTATAGAATCGATGGGAACATGTTGCAACAGAATCACTGATCTGACTCAAAAACTGTCCAAAGTTTCTAAAGCAAGTTTCTCTTTTCTTGTAAGATGGCGGGAGTATTTTTAATCCAAAGAATTGTTTGATCTACTACGCCAGCACAAATGAGCGGGTGGGCCGCCAGCTGCTGCTATCAGAATATAAGGGAGACAGAGGTCCATAAATGTTCAAGTGACCCGCCTACAGTAGCCAAGAGGGCTCTTGTGCCTTGCGGGGACAGAGAACGTAGTGTAGTCACCCAGAGCCCCGTCCTGGGTGGACTTGAGTAACAGGCTACACCTCTCTGAGCTTTGATCTTCTGCCTTGCAAAGTCGGCACGCTGAGATAGTAAGAGAGTAGTCATGAGGAGTCAGGGACCTAAAGCGTTTGGGGAACACAGATGGTGTGCGGCACGTAAGAAGCACACAAGAAATGCAGCCATGCACAATAGATGCATACAGAACACTATGCCCATGTGACTTCAATAGGTGCTATCCCAAAAAGAGTCTTGTAGTCCAATGTCTGGATATACCACTTTAGATAAGTTTAAACCAGGTTTCCCCCGCCTCACTACACTACTTCTCAGAGCCTTTAAAATGTTTATATGTTGGGGCACCTGGCTCATGATTTTGGCTCAGGTCATGATTTCACGGTTTGTGGGTTCAAGCCCTGCGTTGGGCTCTGTGCTGACAGCTCACAGCCTGAAGCCTGCTTAGGATTCCCTCTCTCTCTCTCTCTGCCCCTCCCCTGCTTCACTCTGTGTCTTGCTCTCTCTCAAAAATAAATAAACATTAAAAAAAAAAATGCTGATATGCAACCTGAGTTTCAAGATGGCGACCTAGCATGTACCATTTGGCACAGGACCCTTTTTGCATAAGGCAGTTCACAAGATTAGTGTGGTATGAAACACTGGGTAAATCACAGCTTGCACTTCAAAGCTTGATGCCTAGTGTAATAAAACTGGGATGGCTTATCAGAATGTACATAACTTTCACTGTAAAACAGAAACATTGACAATTATCAGAACATGCTAAGAATCTGGGACTACTTAACTTTAAGTATTCACAATGGCTCAGATTTCAACATGCTGCCCATGTTGACTTTTTTCCTAACATTTTACTGTGGTAAGGACACTTAATATGAGATCTGCTCTCCCAACCAATTTTTTAAAATATGTTTTAATGTTTGTTTTTGAGAGGGGGGGGGGGGACACAGAATCTGACTGACCGAAGTTGGGCGCTTAACCGACTGAGCCACCCAGGTGCCCCCGCTCCCAACCAACGTTTCAGTGAATATGACATTATTGTTGACTCTAGGTAGACACCCTACAGCAGATCTCTAGAGCTAACCCATCTTGCATCACCAAAACTTTATGCCCGTTGATGAGTAACTCCCCATTTCTTCCTCCCACTGCCCATACTGATTTTTACATCACTTACCCGAGACCCTTTTTCAGGAAAGCACTGGCAAACTGAGCAATCTCTTCCTCCGCAAGGCCCAATAAACTTCTTTGCACTCTGGAAAGTGAAGCATCTGGTTTAGTAAACTGGTATTCCTTGCTTAGCTGGGTACATGATATTTAACTTACAACAAGCATCTCGGTTTACCTAACTCATGGGAATTCCACAGTATACCTTTACCTTGGAAACCTCGAAAAGAAAACTCTCATGTTGATACATAAAAAGACAAAGAACTTCCATTGTGGCTCGATAAGAGTGCTGACGATTGTGTGAGAAAAATAAAAGTTTATGTGAGCTGGCATTGAAAAAAGCTCCCTTCTGAGGCCACTTTTTTTTTTTTAGCAAGAATCTTCTGTGACGTCCTTCTCCTGGCAAGACCTCATTTACTAAGTTGTGAACGATCTTAGAGTGTAAACTATATGATTAGGAAAACTGTAAGGACACAATGGTGTCTCACTTCAATTATAAACTTGGCTGCTTTTCAGGACGCTCTTGCTTCCCCTCCAGCACCATCAAGTCCTTCCTGGTCACTGCTCCCGTCACAGCCTTGGATTTTCACACGAAAACTGTTTCCTGCAAACTGCTAAAACTCCAAGATGGTTCCTCTAATGTGTCTCTCAACCAGAAAGCTCCTGAACTTGAATAAGGTGAGCCCTTCCCCACTTCTCGCTAACCTCTCTCCAACATTCTCTTTAGAGAGTTTCTCCACACTCACATGTTTTCTTAACTTTCATGCTTCTTCCAAACACACACACACACACACACCACACACACCACACACATACCACACACACACACACACACATGCACACACACGCGCGCTCTTTAGGAAGAATCAGGCCCTTGTTCTCACAAATCCTCATTGTCTGTATCCAGAGTCATCTGTCACTTCAATACAAAAGCATAATCCCAGAATAACTGTTTCCATAAGTAGATCCCTTAACAACAAAACAGCCACCATGATGCACCTGCAGTGACAATGACAATGAACACTGACCATTCCTTCAGAGCCTGGGGCGGTGGGTTGGGAAGAACTAGTGGCAAAAACAGCTCTAGATGCTATGAGCTGAGAGTGTGGACAGGAATATCAGAAAGGCACCAGGGATATACTTCGCCTAGTTCATGATCTCGCCTGGTCCAGCCCTCACTGTAACACTTATATATTACCCACACATTTCTATGACTGATAGATCTTTTACATTCAAGGCTATAAACGTGAGTCTTTACACCAAAGCATAATGGGGAAACATACAACATTTGAACCAATACTCACAGTTCAGTTGGAAAACAAATATGTATACCTACACACCAATGTACATAAGTATGTATGGAAGGACATACAAGTAGGTGTACATATGAATACACACATGTGTAATCATACACATATATATGAGTATGTGTATGGGAGGAAAAAGGATCTACCGAATGTATTTATTTTTCAGTCACACAACTTAGACCTCTTTTTTCTAGAAAAAAAAAAAATATGCTCAGACACATCCCAAAAGAAAAATCTTTAAATTAAGCATTAATAAAAAAAGACATTTTTATAAACAAAATTCTTTAGAGTCATTGAAAGTATATAAGAATGTGAACCTTTACAAGAGTTAAGTTAAAAAAAACTGTATTTGAAGTTTCCAAAATAGATGCCTCTTGAGTTTTGAGTCACATTGTTATCTATGAATGCAGAACCATCAAGTTCAGAACTCTGATAAAGTGACGAGAAAAAAAAAAAAAAAAGGTTAAATGCCCAGGTCCAGGACACCATGAAAACACTTTAAAGCAACTGGTCTGAATCCTTGGGTTCATTTAAGGTTGGGACTCATTACTATGTGTTCAGTGAAATATCAAAACAACCAGAGAAAGAAGGTCAGTTGATTAGCTGGCTTGATAATAAAGACAAGTTTGTTCTTTTATTGTTTTTTTTTTCTTAATTGTGCCAACCATCACAGAGATGTTTGTAGCATCTGAAAATTACATTTCAGGAAAGAATTGGTGTAAAATAAATTAACAGATTCTAATTAAAAAAAAAAAAAACCAGAAATAGTCACATGTAAAGCTTTGGTACTGATAAAAGAAAAAAGCAAGAGGTAATTTTAGGCTCTAAGAAGTTTTTGTACGTTAGATATAGCCCAATAAATACCACTTTAGGGGAGGCATTCATAGAGGGAAAATATGTGCCACAAAAACAGACTGTATGAACCCATTTGAAAAAGATAAATACTATGGCTCACACCAAGGCAACATTCAAAGTAGAAACCATATTCACCGGAATACACTGATGTTCTCCAAAACTAATGTCATTCTTCAAAGAGGAAAAAAAAGAAAAGTTCCTGTTTTAGCCCAGATATTTTTTAAACAAACGTATGTTGAATAAAATGTTTATGAGGTACGTTATTAATTTCTAGATTAATAACTGGTCCTACATGCATACCTCTATTTTCTTTTTTGAAAAACAACATTTGCATATGATAAAAAATTCAAACAGGGCAAAAGAGTATAATGGGGAAAGAAATTTTCTTTTCCAGCCCAGGCCCTCCCATTCCCTCACCTAGAGGCAATCACTCTCCTCAATCTGTTTCTGGGTAGTTATGAGCACTTTCACACCAGGAACACATATGCACACACTCACATACACACACGCGCACGCACACCCACCCACACACACACTTTTTGGTGATTTGAATCTTGTTTTATTTTTACCCAAATGGTATATTTCTCTGTACCTTGCTGCCTTCACTTAGATGCCTTCAAAGTCATTCCAAGTTAATAGAATCGCTCTTCCTCACATGAAGTACTTGTTTAATCTGTCCTTCTTGATGGGCCGTTAGCTACCTCCCTTCGTTACTAAACACTACAATATTTTTGTGTGTTTTCTTTATGTGCAAGTCAGTATAAACATATATAATAAATTCCCAAAAGGAAACTTCCTGGGTCAACAGGATTACACATTTGAAATTCTGAAGGATAATGCCAAATTGCCTCCCATAACTTTTGCATCAATTTATATCACTATCTTTAAAAGACAACTATAGTATCGCAACTTTGGTGTGAAATCTCTAATATCTCTGCATAGCACAACCTGATAGGAGGGTCCAGGCTAGATGAGTCTTTGTTTCAAGAATTTTTTTTCCCACGTATGGAACATAAGAAAGAAAGGAAGTGAAATTTAAGACTCTGTAGGCTCTTCTAATGGGGTGGTGGGGGGGGGGGGGGGGGGAAGAGAATATAATACAAAAATAAACTTAGAGAAATCAAGTAAAAAGAAATCCAGACACATATCTCAGTGTGTTTCCATTCTTACTTCAGATGATGCTCTCAAATGCATGGGACTAAGTGGTACACGGCATATCATCCTACTTGGGGAGACCTTCTGATTCCTCTCTGGTCCTGACCAGTAGGAAAAGGAGAACAGAAAGCAACTTTCTATTTTGATTTGCCTTGAAAAGACCCATGTTAACTGAAATAACAGAAACTGGACTGGGTAAATCCAAGCCAGAGAGGATGGCAGATGGGGACGTGCTCACTAGGGTGACTTAACCCGTTCAGTTATCTCAAGATCTGAGTTACTGGCAGTCCATAGTGTGATTTCCCAGAAATGTCTGGGGTTGGGTTTAATAACTCAGATTCCTCAGTGGGAAGCAGAAGACAGAGATCTTATTACAGAATATTCTAGGTTTATCCTTCTCCAGAGTTAAAATGTTCACATGTAATCTTGTATGTCTTGATTTAATCTTGAAGTAGGCCAGCCGCTTCCAGCCCCCCTTCAAAAAAAGATTTTAACACAGGGTAATGTTATAAAATGAAGAAATCCCCAATACCTGGGCAATTTGGTAAGCAGTTTTGAGTGTGGAAAAGAAACCTTAGAGCTCACCTAGTCCAGCCTTTCATTTTACAGATGAGAAAACTGAGTCCCACAGACAAAAAGGCTTATAACAAGAATAATGCATGCAATCAGAGCTAATTAATGTACTTACCGCATATATGTGTTGTACAGAAAACAGGATAAGTATAAGCAACCTACGAAACAGCAAAAATGCAGATAAACATAAACTGTTCATTTTCATGCAAAACAAACTAAAAAGAGAAAGAACAAAAGAAGAAATTCCAGGCTTTTTTTTTTTTCTAATAGGCCACTGTCATCAGTGACAAGATAAATGTTACTCTCTCTCTGCTTGTCATCATTATCTTCCCTCTTGCTATTCAGTCAAGAAGTACTCACACCCCTTTAGTGGGGTCCTCACTGGGCTGGGTACCCTGGGGACACTCTGAAGGTGAGACTGGATGGGTAGATGAGGGAATGGAGACGACTCTCTGAATGAAACGTAGATGAGTGAGGGAAGGAGGCAGCTCAGTGTATCCTGGATGCCATTAAGTGAAACCAACTGGAAGGAGGGAGGAGGGAAGAAAATCTAATGGACTGGGGAGATGATTTGGAAAGGAAGGAAAATAATATGAATCAGCTAGGGAAGAGTTAAGTGGTTCAGGGTCTTGTAAGCGAGGTAGAAATCCACTGGGGATAACATCATAACTATAAACAAATTTTAACAGAGAAGAGATACAACCATAAAAGACCATTGTTATGGACCAAATGTTTGTAGCATCTCTCTGCCCCCCACTGCCCACAAATTTATGAGTTGAAATCTTCACCCTTTAGAATGATACTAGAAGGTAATGCCTTTGGGAGGTGATTAGGTCACAAGAGTGGAGTCCTTATGAATGGGATTAGTGCCCTTTATACAGGGACCCCAGAGAGCTCTCTCTCCCCCTCTTTCCACCATGTGAGGACAAACCAAGATGTTGGCAGTCTGCAACCTGGAAGACACTCTCACCAGAACCCACTGCACTGGCACCCTGATCTCAGACTGCCAGCCTCCAGAACTGGGAGAAATAAATTTCTGTTCTTCGTAAACGCCCTGGTATGGTATTATTCCAGGAGCCCAGTCTGACTGTGACAACCACTAAACATTCACATACATCTGCCTTGGGCTTATATTGGTCAAAGAGCTTTCATATTCATCATGTCATTTAATTCTTAAACAGCTCTGATGGATTTGGGGACTCAGGTCACATCATTCCCAGGGATGAGAGGAGAGCTGCGGTCCAGCCAGACTCAGGCTGTGATTTCCCGCCAGCTCTGTCCTTTTTTCTAAGTAGAGTCTTTCTTCTGTCTGAAACCCACGTCCTAAGTGAGCCTTCTTTTTCCACACTGTCCCCCTCTCATGCTGAAATGCTGAGAAACATTATAGAAAGCTGCAGAGTCGTGCCTCTGGACGAGACCCAGACTAGGAGATTGGGGACTGCGGCAGGCTGAGCCCATGCTTACTGGCTACCCCACTGAGGTCTTCCTTCTCCCCAACCCTGCTGTTGGAGTTCATGACAATGCCAACAAAGGTAAGGTTGGCATTTCAGTGAAGTATCTAAGTAATTAAGAGAATAAAAAGTTGAAAGATGTGTTAAACATGGGATAAAATGTTTTAAGTCAAGTATTCATAACTACCGTTTGCTAATTGGGCCCTTATCACTTTGGATATTTGTAAATAAGTACATGTTACATCCCATACTGGTTTTGGCCATCCCCATATATATAGTCTCATTAAAACTGTAGTTAGGGATGGGGATGCCTGGGTGGCTCAGTCGGTTGAGCATCCGACTTCAGCTCAGGTCATGATCTCACAGTTCATGGGTTTGAGGCCCACATCAAGCTCTGTGCTGACAGCTCAGAGCCTGGAGACTGCTTTGGATTCTCTGTCTCCCTCTCTCTCTCTGCCCCTCCCCAACTCCTGCTCACACTCTGTCTCTGTCAAAAATAAAGAAACTTAAAAAAAAAAAAAAAAGACTGTAGTCGGGGCATGTTTTTTTCACATTTTGCACAAAAGCAAACTGACCCAGAAATGTTGGGCAATGTCCTCAAAAGCTTGCTGGAAGGGGGCAAGGACGGATGCTGTTCGGGTCAGTGCTCAATCTCTCTTGTCCTTCCTTCGCCCTGTTCTCTGATAGTTCCTCCTGCTGCTGTGTGTATTGAAAAAAAGGCAATTCTTTTTTTCTTTTAAAAAACCATTAAAATTAAGACTATTTTGCAGTTTCCTCCCCATCCACTCCAAATAAGTTAGATTCTCCTGTAGTCCTGAAACAAATCCATTCTTCCTACCACTCTCTCATGCATACATATTCATCGGCCTCAAAACTTTTCTTATTTTTCACTATTTAAGACGTTGCTGTCTTAACTCCCAATGTCTTTTTTGGTCCCTTCTGACAATAGCATGTTAGTTTCCTACCAGCCCCATAACACATTACCAAAAACTTGGTGGCTTAAAACCAACAGGAATTTGTTATGTCATGATTCTCCAACATGGGTCTCACTGTTGAAAATCAAAGTGGGGGCAGGGCTGTGTTCCTTCTGGAGGCTCTGGGGGAGATTCAGTGTCCTTGTATTTTCCAGATTCTGGAGGCTGCCTGCATTCCTTGGCCCCTGGTCTCCTTTCCGTCTTCAGAGCCAGCAATGGCTGGTCACGTCAGTCTCATCCCTGTGACCTGTTTCCATTGTCACATCTCCTTTGCCCCTCACCCTCCTGCTTCCCTCTTTCACTTCTAAGGACCCTTGTGATTACACCGGACCCACCCAGATAATCCAGAATAAGCTCCCTAAAGTCAGCTGATTAGCAAGTTTAATGTTATCTACAAACATAAATCCCCATCACCTGTAACAGACCATATTATCAGGATCCAGGGATTAGGATGTGGATACCTAAAACCTAGTAAGAGGACAAGAATCTGCAGCCTTTAGATGAATGTCTTTCCCATTGGCGATGATGTGGGTGTAATTCAGGGAGAGTAGAGAGAACTGGTGTTTAATAAAAATGAATCACAAAATAGCAGACATAATAGATAGGTTTCTGGAACACTTTGGCCTCTTGACACATGAAACGTTCAGACAATTCATAACTGTAAAACCAAATTTAGGAGAAATTATTAAATATAAGCAAGTTATCACACGGAGGACACTCACCAGGGATCTGTGGCCAATGGCTTGATCCACCTGAATGAGCACTTTATTGACGCCATGTGCCTGGATTACTTCACAGTCAAGTCTTGGTACTTAAAAAAAATTCTGTCAGGTTTCTCTTCTCTTCCAGAAGACTCTCACTTGTAAGTGGGGTGCTATGTCCTAGGTTTAAAGTTTGTATATGTTAAATATAGATACATCTCTTAAAACACAATATTCTTTATAATGTTGAAAATAATTACTTTCATTATTCACAGCAATGGAAATATTTTCTAAGGGGGGAGTTCAACTTTTTTTGACAAAACAATCTTAGTGGTAATAAAACTGAATAAATACCAATTTTATTCTTAGAAATAAAAACACTCTCCAGTTATTTGTGTCATAAATATATTTTTGAGAAATGAAATATAGATGTATATAATGCTTGTATAAAAATTATTGCTGGGGCGCCTGGGTGGCGCAGTCGGTTAAGCGTCCGACTTCAGCCAGGTCACGATCTCGCGGTCCGTGAGTTCAAGCCCCGCGTCAGGCTCTGGGCTGATGGCTCGGAGCCTGGAGCCTGTTTCCGATTCTGTGTCTCCCTCTCTCTCTGCCCCTCCCCCGTTCATGCTCTGTCTCTCTCTGTCCCCAAAATAAATAAACGTTGAAAAAAAAAAAAATTTAAAAAAAAAAAAAAAAAATTATTGCTTCATTTTGTTAAGTGGCATTTTCTCCTACTTAACATTTGCCCTTGAAAATCCAAGTTAAAATTCACTTAAGTGCATTTTTTTACTTTTTGGAACTAGGAAGGGGAGCCTTTAGTATAGAAACATATACTTTTCACGCACACAGCAAACACATACGAAAATATTTTTATGTTAAATGGTTTCCACAGTTGTGGAAAACACTTTGATGGCTCCTCAAAAAGTTAAATGCAGAATTACCACAAGACCCAGCAATTCCACTCCCAGTTATAACCAAGAGAATTGACACTATATTCATGCATAAACTTGTACATAAATATTCATAATAGCCAAAAAGTGCAAACAAGCAAAACGCCCATCAACTGATGAATGGATAAGCAAAATGTGCTACTTCCACACAAGAGATTTGGCCATAAAAAGGAATGAAGGACTGATACATAGATGAACCTTGAAAACATCATGTTACGGGAAAGACACATATAGTATGATTTCATGTCTATGAAATAACCAGAATAGGCAACTCCATGGAGACAGAAAGTAGAGTAGTAATTGTCAGGGGTTGGAGGAGAGAATTGGGAAGTTTCTTCTTGAGACTATGGAATGTTCTGGAATTAGATAGTGGTGCTGGTTGCACATGACTATACTAAAAAACACTGAATTATGAACTTTAAAATAATTCAGTGACTTTATTTTGTGAATTTTATCTCAAAAAAAAGAGAAAACATATGATTCAAAAAATTCTATATCTTTGATTAAAAAAGGTATAGATATTATATAAAAAGACCTGGCCTAAAGGAATGTCTTGATATTGAAATGTCTTCAAATGGAAATTTTTTGATTTCTGGATAAAATCTGGATAAACTAATTCAATGCTGTGTTTATGGAATACTAGTTCCCCATGTAAGTGGTAGAACAACATTCCTTGATACAGTTTGAAAGTCAGGTAGAAAAAGAATCACTTTGAGGGACCGGATCATTTCCCATCCCCAAATCCATCATTCAAAACAATGTTTTTTTTAATTTTTTTTTTGTTTATTTATTTTTGAAAGTGAGAGAGACAGAGCATGAGTTGGGGAGGGACAGAGAGAGAGACACACAGAATCTGAAATAGGCTCCAGGCTCCAAGCTGTCAGCACAGAGCCCGACACAAGCCTTGAACTCACAGACCTCGAGATCATGATCTGAACTGAAATAAGATGCTTAACCAACTGAGCCACCCAGGCATCCCTCCACATTGATCATTTTTAATATGTTTTTTTAGCTGCATACTGGAAGAAAATCTCAATAAAACAAATTATTGATTTAGAAGGAATACACAAATTGGTTTGAATCATTCAAAAGGTACTCAATTGGGGCACCTGGGTGGCTCAGTCGGTCAAGCATCTGACTTTGGCTCAGGTCATGATCTCACAGTTCATGAGTGGGAGTCCCGCATCAGGCTCTGTGCTGACAGCTCCAAGTCTGGAGCCTGCTTCAGATTCTGTGTCTCCCTCTCTCTGCCCCTCCCCCGCCCATGCTCGCTCTCTCTCTCTCTCTCTCTGTCTCTCAAAAATGAATAAACATTAAAAAAAAAAAGGTACTCATTAAACAGATAAGAAATAGTCAAAAAATTAAAGAAAACCAGGGATATTTACATTTAACCACAAAATAGATACATCATGCATTAATCTCTACACATATTGTGATAAAGGGCGTACAAACAGGGATTTTATTAAAATAGAGTGTTTTTGCAGTCACTTTCAGACAAGAATGCCTGATCATGGTCCTAACACTTAGGAGTTTCTCAATACATTTTGTAACTGAATGACCAGATGGCTGGCTGGTTGGGTGGATGGACAGATGGGCCAATCCGCAGAAATCCAACTGGTCTCCCACTAGTGAAAGGACATCGCTAATTGGGAGCAGCCAATGCACCCTCATCACCATGCACTTAGTAAGCTCTGTGACAATAGGGATTTTGTCTCTTAATTCACAGTTATCCCCAGGGCCATAATCGTGCCTGGAATAGAGTTGGCGCTTAATATATATTCATTGGATGAATGAATTTACAGAATATACTTTGGGCTAATCAAATGTATTTAACAGAGAATGTAAGATAAGGCCAACTTTGAATACACATGAGGTGATGGAGAAAGGAAGAAAGTGGGCCATGGAAAGAGGGATCGTTACAGCCTTGGGAGAAGTGGAGAGGCATGGACACTAATTACACCTTGGACCTTCTGCTAAGAGTGCTGGGCACATCAAATCACTTCCTTCACCACAATTCAGTAAGGAAAGTATTAGTTCAGTTGTGAAGGAAAACCAGCTTGGGTCAGTTTAAGTAACTGGTGCAAATTCACAGAGCTAATAAATGGTAGACCTGGGGGGTTTTGACTCCAGTACGGATCCCTTCTGCCATTTGACACCTAAGCATAGCAGTCTGCAGATGTCTGCTCTGACACTCCCCCTAAGAATGTTTTTTAAGTTACACACACCCCCTTTTCATTTTTTACGAGTTAATATCTAAACACTTTCATCTTCTCTTTAAAGGTGCTAAGAGTATAATATGGAACATTGTACATGGTGACTTATAAAACAAAACGAGTTGCAGCCCTACTCTGACATAGCCAATGGACCATCATAATCATTCTAAGGATGGTTCTTGCCACCATCAGCTTAAAATATGTGCACAACAAGTTCTTAGCCAGCTAGAAATTTTACCTCATTTTCATTCTTGAACTAATATTTCCAATTCATCCCCCATGTATATCCTAGTGCAGCGTATTTTTATACTTGAAAATTCTTATATAGATTACCTTACTACGCTTCTCTGCGACAAAAATATGTATATAAATTATTTTTTTTATTTCCTATGATCACAAATCTCTAAGTCATAAATGTTTTTGCCTCAATGTGTTTATCATTATGATGATAAGTGGTATATAATCCACCAAAACCAAATAAATTAAAATTTTGATAAACAATTATTGAACACGTTACAAATGAAATTTTACTGGAAATGTACTCGGCAATGAATGAATTGGGGATTTCGGTTTCTCTAATAGTTTATTTAGCCCAGATCAACAAATGAGATCTGGTCAAGAAATGAGGTGGGTCAAGCAACAGTACTCCTTCCATTATAATTTCTAAAAACTTTGAATTCTAATAAATCTATTCACAGAAACAAGACTTTGTGAATGGAAGGAATTTCTTCTATAAATGTCATGCAGTTCTTTGAACTTCTCCTAAATTGTATGCCAAAAGCAATATAGAATTTATCATCAAGAATCATTTTGAGTGATCTACCACCTGATAAGTCTTACTAGAAACCACCTGGCCCAGGGATATGGAACCCAAAAGGTGGAATGTTCTCTGTTCTCAGCACCTGCATTTATGCTGCCCAGCGTCTGCCTCACAAACAGATCTTGCCTTCGGGGGGGCAAAGCAGGGTGGGTGGGGGCAGAGGGGTATGCTTCTCTGGTGAAAACCAGCAAAAGGAAAAACTGTAAAAGGCGGTGGTGAGAACATGAAGCAAAGACCCGTCTTCAGACAGAACAATTCTAAGAAAGAATATGATAGCAGTTGAGAATCTCCAAGTTGATTCCTTGACTTCATCTTCCAAGCTGACTGCACAACTCTTAGGAATCATTCTGTCTCCCAAGGGCGTATGTACCTCAGCTTGAAGACCTCTGCTCTCCAGGAGCTGCCAGTGGTAAAAAACTGCCTTGTTCACTGTTTGACCCGGAGCAAGCCTTGGATGAGCACGTGCTGAATCCCACACGTCTGTCGAGCCCAAAACTAGCCATGAACAAGTCATGGAGAATTTATAACTGTTCTCCTAACTAAGTCTCCACAACAGCTGAGCACGTGATGCTCAGGGCCCATGTGACGATCAGCTTGCACCGTGAGCATCGGTGTTGTCAAAACGCAGTCACACAGGTAATCCACAGCAATCCGAGAGGAGTTTCTTCGTTGCAACTGCCTGTGTTAAGAGCATAAAAACTTTTGTCTCAACTGAGCTTCTGACTGCACCAGACAACAAAACAAAAATACTCTCTCGCTCAGAACAGTGTCCTTCTAACCTACCTTCTCAAAAATACATGGCTGTCATCACATAGGACTGGCCAAGGCAGGGAGTTTCCAATGGAGTCTATCATTATTAGCAAAAAAAAAAAAAAAAAAAAAAAAAAAAAAAAAAACAAAACTTTGCAACCCAAAGCGCTACGCCTATGCCACCAAGACATATGCAAACAATGCAAACAGCTGCTTTGGGAGATTGCCTACCTAGGAAACTTCTGCCAAGGTTCTGCACCTTTCAAAGGACATGCTTTAGTTTGTCAACTGTTATTCTCAGGAAGGGAGCATTCTCCAGGGGCTGCTGTGTCAGGGCCCACTCA